CTATCTATCTATCTATCTATCTATCTATCTATCTATCTATCTATCTACCTACCTACCTACCTACCTACCTACCTACCTACCTACCTACCTACCTATCTATCCATCTATCCATCTATCGACCTACCTACCTACCGACCTGTCTATCTGTCTATCTAGCTAGCTATCTAGCTATTCTAATATATTTGCTAGAGTGGATCCAGTAGCCCACAGAAAACTGTTCTACTCAGCTATACCGCTGTCTCTTCTTTACTCCCTTTCCTTACCAATAAAGGTAACTCACATTTTTTCCCCCAATGATAAATTGGCCCTTTTGTTTTTCATTTTCTGCTTGACAGAGACTATCCACACCTTCAGCTGAACTTGCCCAGCACATACATTATTTTGTGAGCCAAGTGGTATTTTCATGCACTTGCAATAATGTCTCCCTTTTATTATTAGACAGATTACATCAATGCCAGTTTCATGGATGGCTACAAGCAGAAGAATGCTTATATTGGTACACAAGGTAAGCTATGTTAGCCTTACATGTTGATTTCGTACCACTTACACATGGTTTTTCAATTCAGGTGATTTTTTAATTTTAATTAATTGTTCGTGTGTGTTTGGTATGCATGTAAGTCTGTGTACACCTGGTGCAGAAATCAGAAGAGGGTGTCATATCTCCTGGACCTGGATCTGGAGTTATAGATGGTTGTATGCTGCAGTATGGGTACAGGATTCAAACCTGGATCTTTGGGGAAGGCAGCAAGTGTTCTTCACCACTGAGCTCTTTTTCTAGCCCCCATGTCCTGCTTTTATGTAGGTGCTAAGTTCCAAAATCAGGATTGATCAGCAATCATTCTTATCTATTGAGTCCTCTTTCTAGCCTCCAGATATTCATTCATTCATTCATTCATTTATTCATTTATTCATTTATTTTGGTGTTTCACTGTACAACCTTAGTTGTCTTGGAATTTCTTGAATTTGCTCTGTAGATGAGACTGGCTTTGAACTCAGAGATCTACCTGCCTCTGTCTGCCTTGCCAGTACTGGGATTAAAGGTGTGTGCTACCACACCCAATTCAGATGGCATAATTTTTCAAAGAAGTGTGTTGTGACCACTAAAATCCTGGTCTTTTTTAAGTTTGGTAGTGAAGAAAACAGATAAGTTTGCAGTTTCAGTTCCAGACATGCATGGAAACTTACAACAAAGAGAAAATCTAGAGATTTAAATCTATAATGTTATTGCTTGCCAGCCCGTTTTTGGGACTGTGTTTAGTATAGTGATTGAAGAGTGTGGGCATCAGAGCTTTGAGTTGTGGCCCATACCCGTCATGCACACACACAATAAAGATCTGATTCAGGCCGGGAATGTAATTTAGTGATACAGCACATGTCTAGGTTTGAATGTGATCTCTACCATCTCAAGATAGTAGTAATAATAATCAAAAGAAATCTGAATCTAGTTTTAAGTAACAAATCAGTCAAATTCAGATTGTTTAGCATAGTACAAGAAAGCATGCTGAGTCTAGGTCGGAATGTTGGTATGTACTTGCTTGTAATCCCACAAATCAGAGGATCCCAAGTTCAAAGCCTGTCTCTTTTGCAAGAACAGGAAGAGAACTAACTGTTCTAGATTACTAAAGAACTAAAGGTAATGTGGGGCTTATAATGTGTCCTCTACAGAGGGAAAGTAGTATTAAGGACAAATAACTTGGACAAGTGTAGACTTCCTATCAGTTAAGGTTATATCTGTATTCCATTGTGTGATACTGTAATGCTGTATAATGATATATAAAGGGAATGAACAAATACATATATATATATATATATATATACACACACACAAATACATATATGTATCACACACACACACTAGTTGGACAAGGTCTCATCTGCCTTAGGCTCTTTTCATACTTGCTGTGTAGCTAATGATTACTTTGAATTCCTGACCCTTCTGCCTCTTCCTTTTAATTTCTGGGGTTACATACATGAACTTTAGTGGACTGGTTCTTATATACCCATATATGCATACTAGTAATATTTCTAATAAGTCATCTGTTAAGAATATGTATTATATTTCAGGTGCATAATCTCTGATTATTAAAGTAAGTCTGTGAAAGTTTTTCTTTTTAATTTTAGTGTGTCTGTGTGTTTAATTTATTTAAGCAAACTGAGGCCCGATTGGTTAGGTGACCTTGAACATAAAGCTAGTAGCAGAACCAGAATTTGAATCTCTGTCCAGGTTAGAAGTTCTTAGAAACCATCTCTGTGAATTGGTTCTTCTGTGTCAAAGTAAACCACTAATTTTACATCTATAGACGTCCACTTGTATATGTGTGGTATATATGGACACGTGAGTATGCTTATTTTTGTGTGGGGGCAGATCTAGAGGAGGACGTCAGGTGACCTGTTCTGTCTTCCTTCACCTTGTTCCTTTGAGATAGGGTCTCTCACTGAACTTGGAGCTAGGCTAGTGATCAACAAGCTCTAGAGAGCCTTCCTTTCCTTCCAAGTGCTGGAGTTATAAGCATGTACATCCATGCCTGTCTTCTTTATGTGAGTTCCTGAATTTGATTTGAGGGCTTCATGCTTGTGTGGCAAGAATTTTTACCAGTGAGCCATTTCCTGAACCCATTTCTTTGTCTTTTTCAGAAGGTTTAGCTGTGAAGCCCTTGTTAGTTTGGAGCTTGCTGAGTGTGGTGTCACACATCTGTGGCTCCAACAGAGCATGGGCTATAGAGATCCTGGGTGCTAGGTTTCAGCTCAGGTACTCACACAGCAGGCACATTGCCAATTAGGTAGTCCCCAGCCCCTTGGGGCTTTTGTTGTTCTTTGTTTTGAGATAGTGCTCAGGTTGGCCTGTACCTCACCATGATCCTCCTGCCCCCGTCTCCCAAATCCTAGTTATAATCTCCTCCTGGAGATTATAGGCATGATAACCAGCTTCACTAACATCTTTTATTTTGATTTTCTGGTTTGAAAAGGGGTATTATGTAACCTAGGCTTGACTGGAACTCCCTATATAGTTTCAGATGAATTTGAATTCCTGATACTGCCTCCTCCTCCTTCCAAAAACTGGGATTATAGATATATTCAGCTTGTCCTGACATCTTATGATGTTAGAATTTCTTCTTTGCAGGGCTGAAGAGATGGCTCAGAAGTTAAGAGCACTGGCGTCTCTTCCAGAGGTCCTGAGTTCAATTTTCAGCATCCCCAGGGTGGTTCACAACCATCTAAAATAGGATCTCATGCCCTCTTCTGGTGTGCATGTGTACATGCAGTCAGAGCCTTCATACATCAAAAATAAATAAATTTAAAAAAACACAAAACAAAAAAACCTAGTACTTAAAAAAAAAAAAGAGAGAATTTCTAGCCAGGCAGTGATGGCACACACCTTTAATAATCACCAGCACTCGTGAGGCAGAGGCAAGTGGATCTCTGTGAGAGAGGCCAGTGTGGTCTACAAGAGCCAGTTCCAGGACAGACTCCAAAGCTACAGAGAAACCCTGTCTCGAAAAACATAAATAAGCAAACAAATAAATAAATAAATGAAAATTAAAGAAATAAAGTACAGCATACTCACAGTCCATACACCCAGCAAATGCAATTATAAGAGCTGTACTTTGAAACTATTTTAGGGTGGGTGGCATTGGCACACTCCTTTAATTCTAGCACATAGGAGGCAGAGGCAGGTAGATTTCTTGTGTTCGAGGCCAGCCTGGTCTACAAAGTGAGTTCTGGTACAGCCAGAGCTGTTACACAGAGAAGCCCTGTCTTTGGGGGGGGGTATTTATTTTAAATTTTATTTTATGTGTGTGGATGTTTGTTTATAGGTATGTCTGTATGACATTTGCATGTCTGGTGCCAGTGGAAGCCAGATGAGCTGCTGGAGTCCCTGAAACTGTAGTTACAGATGGTTGTGAACCACCATGGTGGTGCTGGGAGTCAAACCTAGGCCCTATGGAAGAGCAGCCAGCACTCATAACTATTGAGCTAGCTCTCCAGTCTCAATAGTTGTGTTTTTTGTCATGGAAAGGTACATAAAACAAGATTTACTTACATGAGAGGGGGAGGTTTATGTTGTTAACTATTTTATTTGCCTGTATCTTTAAGCCTACATAGAAAAGGTCTTAGAGATGCTGCAGAATGTTAGTGTTCTCACTGGATCTAGGAGTTAATGAATGATTTTTATCTTCACTTTCTAAATATATCACAACAGATATGCATTACTATATATGAACATCAAGAAGGCAATAAAACACTTTTCCGCATCTCCCAACCCCAGGCTTTTCTAAATGCTACTACTTGTGCTTCTCACACATTAGATCCCCAGCTCCTCCCCACTCGTGGTGGTCAAACCCAGGGCTTCACATGAGACCATCAGGTTCTCCCACCGACCCACATGCACTCGCATATACTTTGTTTTCACATTTGGACCGTGAGCAGGGGCTAAGTAAGGGTGATACCAGCTGGAGACAGGCGTAGGATTATACATTCAAGAACAGCCTGTGGTGCACACTGAGACAAAAGACCCTAAAACCAAAACTATTATTAGAACTGGGACATATGAGCAGTCAGAATATCTGATAAACCAGATATAAAATCCAAGGTAGGTAGATAGAGGGACTAAACTTTCTTAAAGGCACAAGAAGGATCTCCCTCATACTTGGTTTTTCAAGACAGGGTTTCACTATAGTTTTAGAGCCTGGTCCGGAACTAGCTCTTGTAGACCAGGCTGGCCTCGAACTCACAGAGATCCACGTGCCTCTGCCCGCAGAGTGCTGGGATTAAAGGTATGCGCCACCACCACCTGGCTTCCCTTCATACTTTTGAATTTGGTAATTGAACCCAGAGCTTTGAGCTTGCTAAGCATAAGCTCTACCACTAAGCAATACTACTGCCTTCTCTCTACCCTGACATGAGGTCATTTGAAATTCCTTTCCTTCTTATTTTTTATTATGTGTGTGTGTGTGTGTGTGTGTGTGTGTGTGTGTGTGTGTGTGTGAGAAAGAGAGAGAGAGAGAGAGAGAGAGAGAGAGAGAGAGATATGCATTTTCCCTGCATTTAGGAGAGAGAGAGATGTATGCATTTTCTGTGCATTTGTGCCTGTGCACTACATATATTCATTGACTATAGAAGTCAAAAGAGGGCATCAGATCCTCTGAAATTGGAGTGGTTGTGAGCCAGTGTGGGTGCTAGGACCTGATCCTGGATCCTCTGAAAGAACAATTAGTGCTCTTAACCACTGAGCCATCTCTCCAGTGAAATAATATCCTTTTGTCCATTTCTTTCTCTCCCAACTACCTACCCACCAATCATCCATCCAGCTGTCTATCTATCTGAGTCTGGCTTTGTAGACTAAGCTAGTGCTCCTCCTACCTAGTTTCTCTGTTTTTGTTTTTAAAGGTTCGTTTTATTTTTGTTTTTACATGTATGAGTGTTTTGCCTGCATGCTTGTATGTGCATGCATGCTGTGACCATGGATGCCAGAAGGCAGTTGTTAGATCCCCTGAAACTAGAGGGATGGATGGTGGTGAGTCACCAAGTGGGTACTGTTGTCAGGCACTTGTTATCCCAGCACTAGGTGGCAGAGATAGGGGGACTTCTGGGGCTCAGGGACTATCCAACCTACCCTAATTGGCAGGTCCCAATAAGAGAGCCTGTCTCAAAACAAAATACTATTAAACCCAGAACAACGTGGATGGCGGTGGCTTCAATGTACATACATGAGTGGCTGTTTGAACACACACATACTCTTTTTTACAACTTCACACACAGGTTAGTGCTTACTAAAGACTTTCAGAGAAGTAGTGGAACCAGTGGGCTTTGGGGTCCAAATTAACCCTTGATGTTACCCTGCTTTTGTGAAAATGGAGAGGGAAAGCACTTGGAAGGCATAAAGAATCATCTTGAGGAGTTATTGCAGAGTGCTCATCATTGTGCAGGTTCTAATTAGAAAAGGTCAGTTTCACAAACGGCATTTGTCCTTCACATCCTATTTACTGAAATTGTGATTTTCTTGAATGTCTGATGTAAGATGCTATAAATTAAATGGTTAAAGTATTTAGGACCAGCCATATCATCTAGAGCTTAGGGGAGAGGAAATTCCTTTAGTGTCCTGGTCAAAGAGAGCCTGGTGGAAGATTCAGCACTTAAAAATGGAGGGTTGGAGAGATGACTCAGCACTTGCTGCTCTTTCAGAGGATCATAGTTCAGTTCCTAGTAACTGCATGGAGAGGCTCATATGCCTGTGACTCTAGGTCTAGGGACTCAGACACCCTCTTCTGACCTCTGCAGTTATCCATACACGTTTGGAATCTACTCCTACAGACAAGAACACATACACAAAAGTAAAAATAAAATAAATCTTAAAAACTGGATAAAAATGGTATGGTTTTATAGGTGAGGGAGACAGTACAACGAAACAGAGTCAGAGATTTAGTGCTGCATTATGATGAAGCAATTTTAGTATTAAATTGTAAGGAGAAAGATATTCAGGAAAAATACTTTAGAATGGTATTAGTAACTTAGAAAAAAATGTTAAAATCCTCATTGCTGTGAAACTTAGTATAAAGAACAGGGGAGCTGGGCAGTGGTGGTACACTTAATCCCAGCACTCAGGAGGCAGAAGCAAGTGGATCTCTGTGAGTTTGAGGCCAGCCTGATCTACAAGAGCTAGTTTCAGGACAGCTAGGGCTGTTACACAGAGAAGCCCTGTCTCAGGTGGAAAAAAAATCAGGGGAAATGGCAGGAGTTAAAAAATAAAAAGCAAAAATATTCCAAGGGCAAAAAATTGTGAGAATTCACTTGGCAACTTCTGGAGATGATGGAAATAGGTGTGTTGACTTCAATTTAGCTGGGCGGTGGTGGTGCATACCTTTAATTCCAGTACTCGGGAGGCAGATACAGGTTGGTCTCTGTGAGTTCAAGGTCAGCCTGGTGTACAAAGTGAGTTTCAGGACAGGCTCCAAAGTTACAGAGAAACCCTGCCTTGAAAAACTAACTTTTTAGAAGAATAAATGATTTTAAATGTCAGTATTGGGGTGGGTGAGATGACTCATACGGTAAAGGTGCTTGTGGTCCTGGCCTGGTGACTTGAGTCAAATCTCCTGGACCCTATAAGGTGAGAGGAGAAAACAGACTTAAAATACAAGTTCTTAGCATGGATCCACTTGTTCACATGGCACGCCTGCTCCCCCATACTTACTAACAAAAACAATAGTGATAATAATTTTAACAAAGATTACTAGAGGTCTTATTTAGCGATAAGAAAGTTGAGAATGAAAGCTAGGCATGGTGGCACATGCCTAATTCCTGCACACTGGCAGCCGGGGCAAGTTCCAGGCCTGTCTAAGCTATACAGTAAGACCCTGTCGAAAAAGGGAAAGGGACCGAGGGAGGGTAACTGTGTAAGTTGAAGGATGAAATGACTTTTGAAGAAGACTATGTCCCAGTCGTGAGGGACTTGAGCCAATGGTTTGTAGTTAATTGTTCTGAGGCTGAGGGCCAGGTGGGGTGAGACAGGTAGGTGGCACTGGTCTATCAGCTTGCTGAGGCGCTGTGGCCTTTAACAGTGCTCCCTGCATGTGGCTCACTTGAACATCTTTAGAATGTCAACATTCTGTTCCCTTTTATTTTTTGGTGAAGATTCATTTTTATTTGTCGGTAAAATTTTATTTTTATTTTATATGTGTAGATGTTTTGCCTGCTTGCATGTCTAGCACCATATGCATGCAGTACCCACAGATACCAGGGGAGGGCATCAGACCCTCTGGAACTTAAATTACAAATGCTCTTAGCTGCCATGTGAGTGCTTGGAATACAACCCAGTTCCTTTGCAAGATCAACAACTGATCCTAACCACTGGTCTCTCTAGCCCTGATTTATTTTATTTTTAATTATGTATATGTATGTTTGTATGTGGATGTGTGCATGTGGATGCCAGAAGAGGGCATTGGATCCCTTGGAGGTGGAGTTACAGACTGAGATAACTGATGTATGTTCTGGGAACTGAATTTAGGACTTCTGCAAGAGCAGCGTGAGTTTTCAACTGCTGAGCCATCTCTCCAGCCCTGTCATTCTGTGTCTCTAATACTCACTCATACTGAGATGTTATGGTTGGTGTGAGAACCTCTCTGAAAAATCAGAGATAAGAATAGGAAGTCTGTGGTGGCTCATGTGAATACTTGTAATTGCAGCACTTGGGAGGGGAGGCCAGAGGAACAGGGGTTCTGGGTCATGCTGGAGTACATAGTGAGTCTGAGTCTAGGAGAGACCCTCTCTCAGAAAAACAGCTTACATCTGTGCTTTGGAGTTACTGTTTGGAAGAAAGACAGACGTGTTTCTGAAGGGTCTGTTCTTCATCTTCTCCTTTCATTACAGGCCCTTTGGAGAATACCTATCGTGACTTCTGGCTCATGGTTTGGGAACAAAGAGTTTTGGTGATTGTAATGACCACCCGGTGAGTTAGTCTTCTTTTCTCCATACCCTCCCTGCCATTACCCTGACCCTGACCCTTAGTGACTAGGAAAGCCATGGCACATTACTTGCTGACATTCTGAGGTCTGGTGGAGAAAGAGATAGCCTTGTAGATATTTAATCCCTAATTCGAGGGACCCAGTGCTCGTTACAGCTGCCCTGGGTCCTGGCCTTATTCACTGGAGGAAGTGCTGTGAAGTAGAAGGCTCGACTCAAGAGGGAAGATGTCCCTGGCTGCTGAATCCCCAGTCCTTTTGCTTTTCATTTCCTGCTTTCTTCAATTGCTTCCTCTTCCTTCGTTTCTCTACCTATAAGGGAACAGGAGAGAAGGGAACATGAGGCAGGAAGTTCTGGATCAAGAGTTGTTCTTGAAATTTGGCAATTCTGCCAGATTTAAAGAATTTAATATTTTATTAGTTTCATCATTAGTTATAGCCTATTTTAGATGGGAAAGAACAAAAAGATGATGGCTGGGCAGTATGCCTTTAATTCCAGCACTTGTGAGACCTAGGGTGGCAAGTCTTTGTATTTAAGGCCAGCCTGGACTACAGAGAGAGTTCCAGGATAGCCAGAGGTACACAGAGAGACCCATTCTCAAATAGAGGAAGGGAGGAAGGAAGGAAGGAAGGAAGGAAGGAAGGAAGGAAGGAAGGAAGGAAGGAAGGAAAAGATGTTTGCTCATTTCCCTTCCTCAGGGCCCTGTTATTAGCCACCTGTAGTTAAGAGAAGTATCACTTCAGAGTATTCTGAGGCCACTGAGAAATGGTGAGGTGAAGTCTGTGGACCTCCTAGTCACACCCAGGACTTGTCTTCCCCAGTGCTGTGTCAGCCAAGGGCCCTTCCTTAGTGGAGAAGAAACTGAGCAGTGCTTAGGCCTGGTCCTCACTCTGCCTTTGCTTCTCTTTATCCCAGGTGAGATGATATAGTTAATGCACCATGCATGTCTGCCAACTGGACATGTGTAGGGACTTTAGCTGTTTATCTTCTGTTTAGAATGGAGAGATTTCATTCTTGCAGATCACATGACATTGCTGCCTAGGAACTGAGCAGTTTGTGATGGGAAGAAGCTTTTTGCCAGTTGAAGAGTGAAGCTTAACTTGCTCTGTTTGTCTTCAGCTTCGAGGAAGGCGGCAGGAGAAAATGTGGCCAGTACTGGCCTTTAGAAAAAGACTCTCGGATCCGATTTGGGTTCCTCACGGTGACTAATCTAGGAGTGGAGAACATGAACCATTATAAGAAAACGACTCTAGAAATTCACAACACAGAGGTAAATGAAGCTTTCTATTTTCTCACTTTGTAAAACTAGGGAAGCTCCTTTAAGGAGGTTCTTGTTGAGGGTGATGATACATACTTTTAATCAACACTTGGCAAGAGAAGGCAGGTGGATAGCTGTGAGTTCAAAGTCAGCTGGCCTCTACGGTGAGTTTCAGGCCATCCAGGGCTACATATTGAGTTCCTGTCTCAACAAAACAAAAACAAAAAAAGAAAATTTCTCAAGGGAATAGGCAGGATTTTTAAGGAGGTTATAAACTGCTTTTGTTTTTTTCTGTAAACAAGTTAAAGATATTCAGCTGAGAAGCCAGTTATGTGGTATATGCTTTTAATCCCACATTCCAGAGACGGGCAGTTGAATCTCTTACGAGTTTAAAGCCAGCCTGGTCTACATAGTAAGTTCTAAGCCAGTGCTACATAGACACACACACACACACACACACACACCTTCCAAAGTCATCATCTCAATACAAGAGTGGCATTAAAGAGAAATTAAACTTTCAGCATTGGGAATCTGGGTCTTAAGCCATGGTTGTTATCCTACCCTGCAGGAGACTGAGGCAGGATTATAAATTGAAAACAGCCTGGACTACACAATATGTATCTTGTCTCAGAAAACTACAAAAAGGAACTAGAGCAATGTTGGCTTAGCTGTTAGAGTCCTTGCTACTCAAGTATGAGAATGAGAGTTCAGATCATGGTACCCATGCATCAGCTGGAAGTTCCATGCATGCCTGTAAACAATTCTGATGGAGGTGGGGGCAAGAGGATTCCTGGGCTTTCTGGCTTATAGCCTAGCTGAGCATACGTGTGCTCCAGGTTGAGAGAGAACTCTGCCTCAAAGGAACAGGCAGAATGTGTGAGAGGAGGACACCTGATGTTCTACTTGGGCTTGCATGTGTACATATGCACACATGTACATATACTCACACACATAGATGTATACGCATGCACGAGTGGAGTAAGTCAGTAAGTGGATAAATATGTTGGTTTTATTTTGAGACAATGTCTCTCACTGTGTAACCTTGACTGGCTTAGAACTCACTATATAGACAGACCAGTCTGGGCTCAAATTCACAGAAATTCATCTGCCTGCCTTTATCTCCCACATTCTGGGATTTAGAGGTGTGTCCTACCATGCCTGGCATTTTTTTTTTAAGCAAGATTTTTTTTTAATGCTATAATTTAATTACAACATTTCTCAGAACTGACTGTTTGGCGCTGAACAACTAGTTGGTGTGCTCTTCCTAGGGAAGAACACTTCTCTGGCTGAAAGACATTTTTTTTTTTTTTTTTTTTTTTTTTTGGTTTCTCGCGACAGGGTTTGGAGCCTATCTTGGAACCAGGTTGGCCTCGAACTCACAGAGATCCGCCTGCCTCTGCCTCCTGAGTGCTGGAATTAAAGGTGTGCACCACCACTGCCTGGCCTAAAATATTTCTGTTTTTTTTAAGAAACTGTATATTATGTATACAGTGTTCTGCCTGAATGTATGTCTGCAATGCAGGCCAAAAGAGGGTACCAGAATGCTTTATAAATGGTTGTGAGCCACCATGTCCTTGCTGGGAATTGAACTCAGCACCTCTGGTAGAGCAGTCAGTGCTCTTAACCTCTGAGCCATCTCTCCAGCCCTCTTTTTTTTTTTTTTAAAAAAAAAAAAACTACAAAAATAAACAAGAAAAATAAGCACTGCTACTATATAGCAATCTGCCTTCCCCAAACATTTTGCCTTAGGGTTTGGGGTAGAGAAGCAGCTGTGATGAAAGGTGAGACCAGAAGACAGGAGTCTTGTTGATATGAATGCTAAGGTGTTAAGAACCTGGAAAAGCCCAGGATAGTCAGAGTAAATAGGGATGATGGCATTAACAACTTCTTCTTCTTCTTCTTCTTCTTCTTCTTCTTCTTCTTCTTCTTCT